ACCGACCTTGAAATAAACATACCTGCAGTCTTTTACTTATATGCATATTACTATTTGCATACAGGCAAATTACTACAGGTACCCATAGACTTCATCTGTTGTTCACCCAGAATTGATGCACTGTGCCTTTTTGGTGCAAGTTTTAGCACAGGTACTCCCTCAGTACATTTTTAAGCAGCACTTCTATACCTACTTACATATAGTACGAAGTATATATGCAAATATTAGATAGTATAAAAACACATGATATTAGTCCAAAGCCAAAAGGCTAATGATTTACCATATAGTTCATTGGGTTAGGCCCAACAGAGACAACAGCATTTCAAGCCATGGGACCCCTCAGCTCAGCTATACTCAGTACATGTGTATACTCCAGGTACACCCCACCCCCCCACAAAGGATCCATGCACCAGTTAGCTCAGTGTTCGTGTCATGTGTCCTGGGATCCTCCAACAATTTATATGCAGATGAGGCTCTGGACAACCTTCCGGCTCCACCTCATGGAGGGCAGGGCCATGCTAATTATGCACGACAGGCTGAGAGAGGGTGCAGCAGGCATTCTCATCCGCATTTTTGGCACCCGAGGAGGATGCCAGGGCTTGCTCCGGTTTCTCCAGCTGCCAGCCTTGTATTGCAGTGCCTCCAGGCACAGTGCACATTCCCTCCTGGGGGAGGGACTGCTTGTGGGTTTTTTTTCCTTAAGGGCTACACAAAAAAAGGTTCCCATCAGCATCTCAGCTTTTTTGCCCAAGATCAACGTTAACATTATATTTTCTGTAACTTAGTTGCATTCCCCTCCCCACTCCCATCCCTCCTATGTTAGTCCCTCACTCGGGCGCTCTGTATTTCCCTTATGGTTTTATCATCTTTTTGGTTCATGATTCTTAACATCTACTAATAAAATTCAATCTTTCTGGCACCAAGAGGATGTCAGGGCTGGTTTCGGCCTTCCCAGTGCTGGCCTAGTATTTCAGTACCTCCAGGTGTGGTGCCAGTTCCCTGTGGAGGGAACATCCACTAATTGTTAAGGGCGACGCACACAAAAATGTTTCCATCAATACATTTGCTCAATATGGGCTGAGTGTTTCATAGTCATATTCAGAGTTGGCTGCATTTAATCAACTTCCTTTTGGCAGCAGTTTAGTGACAGACAATGTATTTAATGAGGTTTCCTTGCTTGCAAGTATAAGTACAGGCTACAGTTGGACCTAGATAGGTTACAAGGATGG